ATGGTTTAGCTGTGAGAGTGAAGTTAGGAATCCAAATTCTACAGAAGCCTGTAATTCCCAAAAAGGCTCTAACTTCCTATTTTGTTTGGGGGATGGGAATCTGTAACCCAACCTGCTTTCTCTAGGGGCCCAAAGTTCTTTGTCCTTGTGAAAGTTCACAGCCTAAATACATTACAGTCTTTTGAACTAATTGTGCTTTCTTTTTGGATGCTCTATAATCACAGTCTTGCAACAATTGGAGCAGTCTGGATGTGTTTTCGAAGCAATCCTCCCTGCTTTGCCCAGTTACTAAGACATCATCGACATATTGAAGACAACAATCCTCTTGTCTGACTAACTTCAAATAAGCAAGACCTTGGGCTAGGGCTTGACTAAAGCAAGTTGGCAAATTCTTAAAGATACGGTTACCACAAGGCTTTGAATCTTGTTTGAGTTTCTCCAGATACTACCTGAATTTGAATAGTCTGCTTTGATTGCTTGCCAATGGATTTATTTAGGACACATCTGGTGGCTCCCGTGTCAACTAGCATCGGGACAACCTGTCCTCCCACCCGTATTTTAACAATGGGCTCTGGGGGTGGGGCTATAGAACCCTGTCCTCTTCAGTCTTCCCATTCCATGTCAGCTAAGCCGATCATGTTTTCTTCTCTTGCCTCTGTCTGATTGGGATAAGCTGGATGCCCTCTTCCTTTGAAGCTTTTCCTGAAGCCTCTCTGGAAAGTCCCCCTAAATCCTCTTCCTCTTCCTCTTCCATACTGGCGAGATTGTCCCCTGGGCTGGCCATTCCTCTGGGGGCATTCCCTTTGCCAGTGTCCTTCTTGTTTACAGATGGCACACTGATTGGATCCTAGGTAGGTTCCTCCCAATGCCACGGCTAACATTTCAACTTTCTTTTTCTCTTTCTGATCTGATTTGCGTTCCTCCTCCTTGTCACGGTTACGGAACACTTTTCTTGCTATTTCCATAATTTCTGCTATATTTTTCCCTAAGTCTCCTTCTGTCCACTGTAGCTTTCGTCTTATATCTGGGGCACTCTGGGTAATAAATCTTTCAATTAGGAGCAGGCGGTTTTGAGCTGTCTCCATATCAAGACCTGTATTTATTTTGTAAGCTTCTATTAATTGGCTGAGGAAAGCAGTTGGGGATTCATTTTTCTCCTGCCAAACATTGGTTACGGCAGAATAATTAACTGGGCGGATGGCTGCTTCCCTTAAAGCCTCTAAACATAACATCTGATAAGCTTTTAGCAAAGTCTTATGTTGAACATTATTGGAATTCCAGTCTGGTCTTTGTTCAACAGCATCTGAATTTCTGTGTGTCTCATAATTCTCCTCCTTCTGGATGCCTTCTAGCTAAAACTTTGATTTTTCTTAATTATACTTTTCTCTGCCTTCAACATCTAGTAAAGTAGAGATAAGTTGTTGCATGTCGTCCCAGGAAGGGTTAATGGGTCTATATAATGCTTGCAAATAGATCAATTATTTCTTGAGGTTTTTTTTGAAAATGGCCCAAATTGCAATTTCCAATTAAGGAGATCAGTGGTTGTAAAGGGAACATATTGAAGCATTGAAATATTAGTGTTATCTGGTCCAGGGACCAACACCTCTCTTAGAGGGGCTATATTTTCTTCTGTTTTCACTTCTGCCCTACTCCTAGTTCTGCTAGAAACTGATGTTTTGTTTTCAAAGTTTTCCAAGCTTTTATCTGTCTCTTGAAGGGATCCAGCTGTTGCTATTTTTCCTTCCTCGCCGGCTTTCCTTCCTCACAATTGGGCTTCATCTCTTTCAGGCAGAGGGGGTGGAATTTGCTGATTTATTCTCCCTTCTTCTCTTCTAGGAACGTAGGGGGGTGGTCTGGCAATTTCCTCCCTGTCTTCCTGGCTGAAAATCTTAGCTTTGGTTTGAGGCCTGGCTTTTTGGCTTGCCAAATATATCTTAGCACATTCTATCTGACATTTTGCTAACCATCGGGGTCTTTCTGCAATGTTGATTTTCCACTTGTCAATATAGGGATACTGGTCCCAATAACCATTTCCAGTCACAATTTGATGAACCTGTGCATTTTTGGCCACCCTACACCAAAGGTGGTCCATTCAGATTCACAGAATCTTTTTAACATGGCTGGATTTGGGTCTCCATAATCCCTAGAAAAACCCTTTTTGAAATTCTTTAACATGCACTGGAGTGGCGTCTGGTCAACGCCCTCCTTTGACTGTTTTCCTCCCATCTCTCTAATACACTACCATCGATCACTCAGCAGGAACTGCGATGGTTTACCCCCCCCCCCAATCCTGCCTATTGAAGGCTTAAGCACACTGCCTTTGCCTTCTAGGGGTTGATCAATCCCCTCTTCCGATAGAAAGGGATCAGGTTTCCCCTTTTTACAATACTTGCCTGCAGACGTTTTCCAGACTCCTTTGTTGATTTAAGACCTGTCTGTCACCCTCACGGATCCTTGACTGAGTGCTTCGCTGATGGGTAAATTCCCTTTCCTCTCGCCAGTTCTCCTTGTAGACAAAGGCCATGGTGCCGGCTTTGGAGCTGTCATCATTTAGGAGAGGGGCCCCCACCAGGGCAATCTGTCAGGCAGGAAAAAAAGCCTTTTCCTAAAAGCCCTTTAAAATCCCGGCGAAGTCGACATAAATCTTGTGGAAAAAGTAAAAGGACTTTTATGAATTCCAAAGGGTGAAACAGAGAGGTTTATTTTTGCGCAAAGGTTCAGAAGCGATTAACAATCAGCAAATTTCTGAACAAGGGGGAGAGTCCAAACTACAATCTTTATAGCTCTCCCTTTCTAAGGAACAAAGGGAGTATTCATGGAATCTTACATTGTATATGGAATCTACATTGTATATCATTCAGTTAGTTTCTCACAGGCATACAATGAATAGAAGGTTTCACTTTTTATACAATGTTTCTCAATATACACAGCTTTCTTCCAGGAATTATGCAGACACATCATTTTGCTTTTAGTGATTTTTTCATCATTATACTTTATTCATTTTTATTCCATGTTATCCTATTTCTTTCCACTTTACTACAGTAATGGGCCTTATTCAGGATGACAAGATAGAAGCTTACCGCAAGGAGGTTGAGGGGTTGGTGAACTAGTATAAGGAAAACTGCCTAGTTTTAAATACTGGAAAAACCAAAGAGATCATTGTCGATTTCAAAAAAGGCAGGTGCTCTATTTTAGAATCAGAGACATTGAAGCGAGGCAAGAATAACAAAACACAACTTCTTTATTGAGATCATAAACAGAACAGAACAGCAAACAAAATGGTGCTGGCCCTTTTATACTCCCTTTGCAGGGACAGCATCAGCCTATCAATGCAAGGCTAGTCTCCCACCTTGCACATGCTCACAAGGCTGGAGACAGCCTGTCTGGTCCCAGGCAACCACATGGTCTGCCTGGGGCCTTCTGCAGCCTCCTGAGCCTGCTGAGTCATTCAGCAGGCCCAGTACATAACAGCAGGCACAGCCACACTTCTCAGAGAATTAATGATTCATCTGTGGAGATGGTTACCAGCATCAAATTCCTGGGTATGCAGCTAACGAGTAGGCTGGCTTGGCGCTCAACAATGAGAAACTGGTGAAGCAGGCACAGCAGTGCCTGCATTTTCTGTGTCGCATGAGAAAAGCACATCTTCCTTCCCCTGTCCTGACCACTTTCTACAGAGGGACAATCGAGAGCATCCTGTCATATAGCATCACAGTCTGGTTTGGAAGCATCCCTGCTTCAGACAGGAAGGCGGTGGAGAGAGTGGTGAGAACAGCCAAAAAGATCATTGGCAGTTCCCTCCCTCCCACCCAGGACATAGCACAGAAGTGTTGCTTGAGCAGGGTCTGTAAGATTATCTGGGACACTACACATCCTCTTCAGGACCTGTTTTCCTTGTTACCTTCTTGGAGGGGGCTTTGTAGTATCCGTAGCAGAACATCCAGATTCAGCCATAGTTTCATTCCATACAGCATTAATCTAAGGTGACCAACTTTTTTACAATGAAAAGGACACAAATAAATTGAAGAAAAAAATATCGTAAATAAAAGAAACATTTTATTCATTGCAACAATAATACAGACAACTTGCACGTGCAAAGTTTGCCAGCCGGGTGTTTTGGCGCGCTCAGCAGCAATTCCTATTGGCTTTCCAAAACCCATATGGGGAGTAGCAGAGCTCATACAAAAGTTGAAAAAAAACATCAAAAAAAGGTGCTGGAATGCCATTCTGAGGGTTCTATGAGGGAAAAAAAAGCTCTGCAGATTAGTCTTCAAATATCAAAAAGGAGGACATGTAGAAGGACACTTTTCGAGGGAGGACAGAACTTACAAAAGGAGGACTGTCCTCCCTAAGGGAGGACGGTTGGTCACCTTAATTAATCTTGTGAACTCTCAAGCTTCCTCCTTCCATTATATATTCAAGATGGACAGTATTTAATATTTATTTGCTATGTATATGTAGGGGTATGGGTCTATACACATGTTGTACACAGTATGTTTTAGGTGTGTGTCATGTATGTTTCATTTTGAAAGTGGGCACTAAATTTCATTTTTGATGTGTGCCGTTGTGCCCACAGTAAAAAAATGTCAGTTCACTTATTTCCACCAGGCTGCTCCTAAGTCGCCTGCGGGAGTCAGGAAACGCAGGGCCGGCCCGGTTCCCTTGCGACCCTGCCAGGCTTCTTTTTCCCCTTCTTGCGGTCGTGCTATTCGGGCCTTCCCAACCCGCGGGCCCAACTTAAACAAGCAGTTCCGAAAGTCGCCCCGGCCGCGCGGAGCGGAAAAAGAGGACGAGGAAAAGCAGCGGGCCGGAACGGACAGAGCGGAAGAGGAAGGCGAGGACGGCTGCTGGGAGCGGACAGGAAGCCCGCCGGGCCCGGAAGCTCGCTGCTGCAGGAAATGGGAGGGGGGAAACGGCGGAGGAGGGCGGGCAAGAAATCGGCCATGCCGAGAAGGTCGTTCAGAGAGGAAGTTGGCTGCGGCCGTGGCCCGGACGTCCGCCTGGGGCCGCAGCGAGAGGCGGCCGAGCACATGGAGGGGCGGCGGCGGCGGCGGGGGGAAGGCGCCGGGGACGCGCGGCCCTCGGCTTCCTTCCCTTCCCCGCGAGTCAGCCGCACTGGCGACAGCAGCGCCGCCAGCAAGAGGTCCGCCGCCGCCCTGGGCTACACCTCGGACCGCTTCGTGCTGCAGCTGCTGCCCCGGGGCGGCCCGCGCCGCGCCCCCGCCATCCACCGGTGAGGCCCCGTCCCGCTGGGCGCTTCCGGGGGACCGGGAGGGGGGCGCCCTGCGGGGCGGGGCTCTCCTCTCTCACGCTCTGCCCTCCCACCTCCCCCCGCAGAGGCTACCACGTCCGGGCGCGAGCGGTGGAGCGGAGCGTGCGGGACTTCCTGCTGGGCACTCGGGGCCACTCGCGCAGCCAGGCAAGTTCGGCCCCCTCCCCCTCTCCAGCCCTCCGCAGCAGCCCCGCCTGACCCCTCTCCCGCCCCGTCCCCCCGCAGGTGATGTCGCTGGGCGCCGGCTGGGACTCGCTCTACTTCTGCCTGAAGGCGGCGGGGCTGCTGGCGGGAAGCGGCGGGCGGTTCTTCGAGGTGGACCTCCCGGAGGTGGCCTCCCGCAAAGCGGCCCTGATCTCCGGCTCGGCGGAGCTGCGCGCCTTAGCGGGAGGCGGCGTCCCCGCGGCTCTCGGTGGGTATGCGGAGGAGGGAGGGGAGGGAGAAGGAAGGGAGCCGTCTGGCCCGGCATCCGAGCGCCCTTCGCCTCCCCTGCAGGGAGCGTCAGGTTTTCCGGGGAAGATTACCGGCTCCTGGGCGTGGATCTCTCGGAACTGGCCCTGCTGGAGGGGGCCCTGCGTGACGCCGGCCTGGACCCCGCGTCGCCCACCCTGATCCTTGCGGAGGTGGTCCTGCCCTACATGGAGGTCGAGAGGTTCGTGCTTTGGCCGTTGCAGCCCACCTGAAAGAGAAGGTTTTATGTTAAATTTCAGCAGGTTGTGGCTTTCCAAGATTAGAATCACTTGTTGTGTTTCACATCCTAGATTTAACCTGCCTTGTAAGGGCCTTGCAGCCTGCCGGTTCTGCTGTATACTTTTTGTTTTTGCATTCCACTGATTCAGCAGACATAACTACCATGCAGCTTACCAAATAGTTGTCATTTTGAGCTACAGAGTTAGAGCCAAGCAAACTTCCCAGCCAAATTTTCATACCTGAGAGTCCCTCCCGTCCACAGTATTTTGAGCTTGAGGCCAAGACATTAATTCCCATGCTCACAAAAAGGCCATTGGAAGTCTGCTCCCTGCATCAAGCACTGCTGAAAATTGCAGCATAGTAGCCCTGAGATAGAATAGGAGCAGACTGGAAGCCCCCAAGCTCCCCCCCCCAGACACTGGTTGCTGCGTCACAAGGTCAAAATAAGGTAGAGCACAAAAAAAAAAAAGTTTTTCATTGTGGCAGGAGTTTTGGATCTATGGATCCTTCTGCTTTCGCTTTAGAGGATATTCAGAACGAGCTATTTCCAAGCTTTGCCAAGTGGGATCTCCTGTCACGGTCTTAGATCCATCTCCAGCTTTGAACTGGGCAAACGTGAACAGTCCTGAAGCTTGTGGGGACTTGGACTTGCTTGCGGGAGTGTCAGATGGCTCCTTGGCCTCCAGTTGGGTGGCCTGGGCTGTTCTTCCCTGGTGCCCTTCACCCTCTTTCTGGTTCATTCCAGGTCAAATGCTCTGATTCAGTGGGCAGCCGGGCACTTTCTGAGCGCCTGGTTCATTCTGTACGAGCAGATTCATCCCAGCGACCCGTTCGGCCATATCATGCAAAATCACTTCAGCCGCCTACAGTCTCCGCTCCGCTCCCTAACCACCTACCCAGACTGCAAGGCCCAACAGATGCGCTTTCTCCAGAGGGTGGGTGTGAGCCTTGGACTGGTGGAAGGGAGACCGGAGGGGGCAAATAGGATGGCTGTGCCTCGGGCTTAATGCCCTGGCCTTCTCTTTAGGGCTGGACGGAATGCCACATCATGGACATGAACGAGTTCTATGGGCACTTTGTTCCAAGAGAAGAGCAGAAGAGGATTCAAGCTCTGGAGCCCTTTGACGAATTCGAGGTTGGTCTGTCTGATGTAGGCAGAATGTGGAGAGGGAGGCGAGGTGGCTTGCAGCTGGCCACAAGGACAGGAGATTATTTCTCCGTGGCCAGTGTGGAAATGCAGTGGGATGGCAGCAGAAGAGTATTTTCATTCGATGGAATCAAAATATGATATACAGGATGTTGGCAAAGTTTTAAAGTAGGATATAAGATAATTCCTACTTGCATTTGAGTGTGCAGCAATATTACATTTAACTTATCATAGAAGCGCACAAGGTGTTTCTAATCTTGGTTTGCTGCCAGTCTACTTCCTGAAGTCCTACCGTCTTAAGATCCGGTCTTTTTTGGGGGGGGGGACCAAAAGGCTTATTAGAACTTATTTTGGCGGGGATGTCTTATTTTGTGGCCACCTACCCGCCAACAACTATCCCACTGTCTGGTTACTCGCGTGGGGCAGGAGGCCACAAGGCGTGCTGGTGCCGCCGCCACGAGCAACAGCAGAATTCCCCCCCCCATGATGGCCTGGCCAGTGCCACTTGCGCGCTATTCAACCCTAAGCGCTTAGACAGGAGACTTGGTGGGCTTAAAGGAGACGGGCACTGCCTCGTGCTTGCAGCTCCGAGGGGGAAGCAGTGGCAGTGGAAAGCTCCTTATTGGCCTGCACCATTGCGGCCGCCATCCCTGTCTGGAGCCTCTGCCTCCTTAGCAGCCTGAGGCTCCAGCCTAGGCGCTTAGAGTTCAGTAGCGCATAGCTGGTGCCGGTGGGACCATCCCAGGGGAGTCTGCTGGGCCTGCTGCTACTGGGCCGTGCCCTGCCATTGCCTCCTAAGCCAGCAAATCGCTCCATTTCCAAGTGACCCATTTGCCAGAAGACGAAGCTTCCAGTCTCCCTCTGGGTGAAAAGTGTGGGATGCATCTGGATCCTCTGCCTCCGCGCTTGGACATATCTGGGTTGCACCAAGGGGCCGGTGGGCTGCGGCTGCAGCCGGACACCATCGGCCCCTGTGCACTCGCTGGCTCTTGTCCTGGCCATGCCCACCTGCCCAGGCATATTTTGGGGGCAGGGCTTATATTAGGCCCGTCCCAAAAAATCAGGCTAGGCCTTATTTTCTGGGTGGGTCTTATTTTCAGGGAAACACAGTAGGAATGCCCCACTGTGTAGAGGTGTTTGTTGTGACTGAGAGTCTGTGGCTGCGGGTGACCTCTGTGTTCTTCCAGGAATGGCACCTGAAGTGCTCCCATTATTTCATCCTGGTCGCATACAAGGGAGAGGCCGCCTTTGCACCTCCTGCATTTTCCAGGACGGAAGGTAAGAAGCCCAAGGTGTCCTCTGCCCCGGGTGCCAGTGGTGACTGGGGATGTTTCCGTCCTGTCTCCTCTCCCCGAACGGTGAAGTTGCACGGGGAGGCCTGATGGGGGCCTAAATCCATCCAAAGTTGACTTAGCTCTGCTAGCTCCCAAAGCATTTCTGTTCAGAGAGGCTGCATTGGCTTTAAGGGGTCTTTTTTTTCGTCCTCTTGTCCGTACAGATTTCCTGAAGGAATTAAATTGATACCCCCAAAATGGTTCTTCCTCAACATGGCCATGCCATGGATTAATTCCTACTTAATTTATATGGAATACCAAGGGGGTGTAGGTTTTTAAGCAGACTTTACAAAGGGTCTCTTCCAGAGGCAGTTTGTTTGTTAATTAAATTGATATATCACCCATCTGACTGCCGTCTGGGCTGCTTACGGCATGGAAAAAGTACATTAGAACATTAATACATTAAAACACCAAGCATTAACCTTTTGAAACATTAAAAGCTAAGTTTGCCAACGGTGCCACTGACTGTGAGATTAGAATCCTAGGACTGGAAGGGATCTCCCTTACCCGGTTCAGGAATCCACGGATCATCCCAAAGAAATGGCTCTCCAATCAACCCCTGAAAATCTCCCATAAAGCGGCCTTCTGGGCTCTCCCTCCTCCTGCCTCTTGGTTTGGATCCCTCCCCCCCACCA